TGTTGCCGTGATCTCTAAAGCTGTGCGACTGAGACCGGGTCTGTTACACGCCGTTGAAAAAGGAAACATATACACACATGCATATATATATATATAAATATATATATATAGATATATAGCAGCTTGGACATTTGTTTAGTAGACTGTAGTTTTTGCATCTTCCTACTCTTGCAAGCCTTAGCACACTTCCGTGGACGATTTCCACAGCCCTATCCGCAGGAGGAGGATGTTGGATTTCAGATTACCCCTGAAGCCTTGCAGCAGCTGCGGAGCTGGTGTGATTGGATGTTAGCCGAATTCCTGGAAGGTACGAGTGAAGGTGGTGGAGGTCGAGATCTAGCTGAGGCGGCAGGGCGACGGTATGCATCAGTCTATGCCTTGAAACTCAAGGGTCAGGCCTATGATGAGGTGGTGCTTTCGAAAATGGAGGCAAGTGCCTCCGTTCGGTGGTTAGCCAAGTGGAGGTTGGAATCCCATCTCCAGATTTCTTCCAAAGAGGAAGCCGCTTCCTCCACCTCGTCGCAATGGCGTTCTTGGATCGATTGGGCAAAGGGCACCAATCAAAGCGAGACCACTGAAGCAGCTGGTCCAAAGCAAGCTTGGGCAGAGTCAGAGGGTTTCTCCATGGAGGCCTTGTTGAATGAGTTGCCGCAAGCCGAGGAGTTACCAGAATTGGCCACCCCAACACGCTTTGAGCTGCACATGCAAATTTCACAGTATACCGCGTTGTGTGATGCTTCAGGCCTTGATGTCCAAGTTGTGTGCGTTGCCGTAAGGACTTTCCAATAAATAAATATCGGCGGACAACTTATCACAAGAGGACATTGTTCTATATGTAATCACGTCCATGATTGTATGTGTATGTGTACGTGTATGTGTATGTATATGATTGTATATGTATAGGTGTAGGTATATGTATAAATACACACACATACACATTCAGACTCTATGTACGTAATGACATTCTATGCAGAATTTCGCGTTTTTTTCTCCAGCAGATGAGACATGGCCCCCAGGTGGAGTATTGGAGGCATCTTTGGGGGGTGCGGCCTTTTCGTTGGATGTGACCATTGGCACCAATACCCAGCTCTGTGTCACCCTGAAGCTGGCGACGATGGCCATTTCTTTGGATGGCCGACCTCTAGTAGAACTAGTAGACACAACGACCGGATCCTTCACCTCGCAAGATGGACAGAACCGGAGGTTTCTCAGAGAAACAGACTAGTTGTTTTCCATCTTGCCCCATTTTTGTTTGTAAATCCATCTCATAGTTGATAGTTTATAGTTCATTGATTCATTGATTCATTGATGTTCATGTCTTTCTTTCTCTTTCCGTGTTCCATGAACTTCTTCAACCATCAGGTTGAAGCCCGGAGCCGGATTACAGTTCCAAGTTTCAGCAGATCGGATCTCGTCCTCTCCAAATGTTGCTGTGACCTTCCTGGGGGAGCCAATCCAGGTGGGAAACGCCGTTGTCGGCGAGGTTTCTACCAAAAGCCCATGAGACAATGACTGAGGCTCAATTAATCTTCAAAAATATTGAGACGATTTAGACCTCATGGAACCAGCTGTTCACTGGGGATCATTGTGTTTTACCAGGGCGAATCCCTACATCAACCAGTGCAGGTGAACTTAGCTCCTCGCACATTGCATGGTGCGCTACGATCAAGCTCTGATGCATGGAATGCCTGGAAGCGACGGAGTGAAGCAGTGGAGATGGTGCGAGAGGTCCATTTTCTGGGGGTGGGGGGGGGTTGTTGGAGACCCGGTCGTTCCATAGTGTTCTTGTTGTTGTGACAGGCTTGGTCATTTGATTTTGGTATTTCCTTCCAAATTCGCTGGGCGTGCTCCCGACTGCCAGAATATATGTGCGAGGGCAGTGTTTGTAATTGCTGTCTTTGTACGACATGAATCGCTCTGCTAGTGGGGTAGTGTTGCTATATAGGTTTGCATTGCTTGTCCCATGCAATGTCAGGTCATGGGATGCAATGCATATGGGGTCTTCTATTGCATATCAAATCAAGTCGTGTCAGTGTGCACATGCATCCTGAGTACCGCACACAGATCAATGCACATGGTTATACTGTGTCGCTTGCGTTGTGTATGTGCATAGCATTGCATAACGCATTTTATTCACGCTCCATTCATTCTATTCCGTACGTTGCACGTTCTGCATCCGCCAATCAACTTCCTGCACACCTGTCCACCCATCCCATCCCTGCAAGCCAACCCAACCACCGAACTGACGAACTGAAGCCCGAGCGCAGGTGTCAGATCTCGACGAGGATGGTGAGCCTTTCGAGGGATCGACAGTGAGACATGCCAAGGCAGCAGCCGAAGCTGCTGGACTCGACACGGGCCAACTGAGTTTGACCATGGAAGTGGAAGCTCCCATCCTTCGCCTTGAGACGCAACATGGTGCTGCCTTAGAAATCCATTTAGGTCATTTTTCAGGCAAATCCATCAGGGAGTTACCGGTTGGCTCGATGCTGAGCCTTAGTGAAAGTGCGGCCGAAAGTGAAGCAGTGGATCTGCAGAGGTTTGCTCTGATCTGCCAACTCCGGGACACACGAATCAAGTTGATAGAACCTGGGGAGACAGATCGCTTTGCCTATGAACCTTCAAAAGTTGTTTTGGTTGCTGCTCGGAGACCTCATGGTGGTGAAATACATGCAGAGTCAACACGTTTTCGGTGTCATATCGACCCTGGCCTCATGCGTTTGTTCGGTCATTTGCAAGTCGGCCTTGACTTTGCGTTGTCCCCTTTATCAGGAGGTGTGATGGGCAGACAAATAGAAAGCTCTCCCAGAGTTGTTCGAACTGCAAGCCTGAAAAGGTCCATCAGCAGGCAAAACCAGCCCTGGAAGTTTGATCTCCGAACCGGCAGTTTTGACTTGATCTGGGATCCAAAGGGCGGTGGAGGCTATCATGAAGGATCCGTGAAGGGCCATATCGCAGGAGTCAACGTGAAGGTGAACGTGGATGATCAAGGTAGAATGACGGTGGTGGGAAACGCGCAAGATGCAGCCATGACATGCGGAGATCGACGGTTCTTCAGTGGCTGGACAGTGAGAGCTTGGACAGTTTTGTGGTGACTCCCATTGCTATGGAGCATGCCAGATCATGCCAGTTGGTATGTGGTCAAAACCACATGTAGGACCAAATTTGCAAACGGGAATGCGCCTGACTAGCCATTTATACAATATTATACAATACATATTATATCAATCCTCCTTGCAATTTCCTCTACAAAATCGCACAAGTCAAGCTTGGGAACATAGTGCGTTTTAGGGCCCTCCTTTGTTTAGGGGTACCTACCCAGTGTCAACGTTTGCAATTTTATAGAGGACCTTGGTGTCAGCGATTCTATAGAGATTTCATGTTTAAAACAGGTTGACACTGAAAACTTGGAGCAAGAGAGCTCTATAAATTTGGGAATGCATGAGATAAGCTAGGCAAGAGCAACTGGAGTATTCAGGTTAGCTGTCAATGAATGAGACTTGGGGAATCTGATTTTCTAGAAGGCCAACTAACCCCCCCAACCTAAAAAAGGCTTTACGAGAGTGACTTGGTGTTAGCTATTCTATAGAAAATTATGCTCATAAACAACCTCAGTGACAGCAATTCCGAAGAGATTGTCAACTTGAAAATATCCTGGCGTCTCTGATTCTATAGACGCATTTTCACAAAGAGGGTCAACGTCTCCAGGTTTATCATATCACTATAAAATTGCTCAGACCAACACTTTCACTTGATTCACAAGATTATATCTACATCTCTCTCTCTCTCTATGTGTATTATATACAGAATTATATTGATACAGGTTATGAATCTCTTAATTTCTCTTACTATTCTGTGTGGATGTCCATTACTGATAGCTGAGGCAGTCGTGGCCACTTGGATTTGGAGGCGAAACGGTCTCCAGATGCCCTGCACCTGGCCTTCACAGCGCCACCTTTGGAGCTTCGCTGGGCCTCCGAATCCGTCCGGAAGGCCATGGCGGCGAATGGGGAAATTCGCCGGAACCTGGCGGAAGGACGGGGAAGAACTCGTTCTCATCCCATTTTAAGAACCCCCCAAATGATTCGGAATGGCAGAGACAATAGATTCATTTGCAAAGCGCAGTTTGTGAGTCTACACCTTCCAAGTGGGTATCGTATCTATGCGAGTCATGACTCATGAGTCACAAGTGACATAGACGAAATTGTCTGTTTCAACGTCATGAAACATATGAAACATCCTACGATAAATGCTGTTTTTAAAGTTTGGGAAAGAAAAAAAGCCAACCTTCCTCTGCATCGGCTGAAGTGATCTGGATACTCAAAATGAATGGATGGTTTAATTGTTTACAATGGTGTACAACTAATCGTAGAACGTAAACTAACATCATCCATTTGGCGCAGCGACAATTGGTGAGGACACTCCGCGGCGCTTCAGAAATGCGGCCGCAACGAGGTTCGTTTGACCAGCGCGTTGTGGGAGCGTTTCGTGGCAGAAAAGACGGAGGAACTGCGAGATGCCTTTGACCAGGCAGTCAAGGAGATTCACCCAGAAAGCCAGAAATTTGGACGTTGTTGATTTTTTCTTTTATATTGTATAACGTTGTATATGTGAATGTATATATATAATACTATATTATATACATATTTTTGCAGGTATAGAATAATGTTTGTTTAAATGTATATAGCATGATGTAGCACATTGCATTTATTTTACAAGTTGTTTTATATTTCGATTTCCAGAAAGGCGCATATGAGGTTTATGACGCCATTGGCAGCTTAAATCCCACAAGCCCGGAGAATATACAGTGGGAGAAATCGCCTTTTTTTGGGAGCCTTTGGCAAGGAAAACGGCGAGCCGAGTTGTTCAAGTCTCCATCAAAAGCGAGGAACTGCGTGCAGTTCTTTTGCGACCTGGTGAAGTCGTTGAGGAGGAGGTGCAAGCCACGATGTGCGGCCTGGAGTGTTGCTTGAGATCTGGCGAAGGCGGAAATGGAAAAAACCTTGGATAAATCGGTATCTGGGAAGTGTCCCTGGCTCTGTCAAAGAGATTTCTGATGACTAATGCTTCGGCTGGAAGAGTTGATTCAATGGAACGGTGTTTGGGACTCAGTCTTTTCTATGCTCTGTTTGTCCCTGAGGTTTTTCGATCACGAGCACACTCAGAAGCATGGATGTGTGGCTGGGTGGTCGACTGCTACTGGCACCCAGAGAAGCTAACCTTCCTTTGCTCCAAGCAGTCTTAACGGCAGGATCTGGTGGTCCCAAAGGCAGTGAAAATGTCTATGACCTACAAGTGACGTGGGCCCAAATCGCCTTGGTCTATCGACAGAGAGACTTCGAACGCATCATGGACCTCTGTCATCAGGAGCTTCGGCTGTCGACTTCGTCCACTGAAACCAAACGGCAAAGCACCGGTGAAGATGTGGAGCGAAGTCCAACCCCCACGGTCTCTGCAGGGACTCAACGAAGTCATTCTTTGAGATACTGCTTCAACATTGGTGCTCCCTTACTATTCCTTCCCGCCAGCACTGGCAAGAAATGTGATTTGGGGGTCATGGATCCCAGCATTGGTGGCTTGAGCATGGCTAACAGCAGTTCTTCATCGCGCAGTTTCCAGCCGCTTCGCGATGAAGGCTACGCTGTTTTGGATTTCGGGAACTGCCTGGTGCAATCGGACCCTTCCAGTGACGGGGCCGCTGGGGTCAGGATCTCCATGACTCGGTTGCAAGTCTTCTTCGCCGCCTCCCCGGAAGACGACGTGCATCAACGGTGGCATCAGATATTGAGGCCAGTGACTGCAGAGGTGGAGGTTCAGAGTACGGCTGAATCTTTGGACATTCGTGTTCATGCTCCATTGGAGAAGGTTGAAGCTCTGGATGTGGGTCCAAGTTTACCCTTGAATCCCTTGAAGCCACCCTCAAGGCCCGCAAGCCCCAAATCTGGGCTCTACAAGCCTCGTCCTCATCCCACCATCAGTTTGACGCGGGCTCATGCAACGCAATTCTTTGATGTCTTGTATCTAAATCTCAGCTATGCTTCTGCAGATCAGGTGTCTCGGTCTGTACCAGACAAGTAGAAACCAGGTACTGAGATATTGTTATTTTCCACCTTGCATTGAGTGCTTCAGCTACATTTGAGAGGGTTAGATTCTGTGATCTTTGCTGCATTTTGTGGCACTTTTCTTTGACTGTCGATAGACAATCTCAAGACCCTTAGATCCTGCTGAACACATTTGGTCTTGTGTTTCATAATTTGGAGCCCCCAAAGTTCAAGCGGCTTACCATGATTTCCCCCTAAAAGAAGGGTGAAACTATAGATATTGGAGAATGTGATTTTCCCTAGTTAGGATATCCTGCAGATAATATACCCTTATTATCCCTTATTGTCATTAGAATGGGATTCCCATTCTGTTCCCAGATTGCTATCCCATGATAGGTCGATGCCCTCCGTGAAGCCTTGAAGATGCGACTTCAGCAGCAGCTGGAGGAACTCACACAGCCTGCGCCAGGCCGAGGCTTTTTGTTTAGCCTGAGATGGACCGGTGCCCTTATGGTTGAGGCGGGGCTGAGCAGTTTTTTTTTCCCGAGAGCGCCTGCGAAGGGTTCTTCGTAAAAAAGCAGCCGTTATACTACATCTTCACACCTTCACACCTGCAGATCTAGATCTTCACACCTTCACACCTGCAGATCTAGATCTTCACACCCTCACACCTGCAGATGTACATCTTCACACCTTCACACCTGCAGATCTAGATCTTCACACCTTCACACCTGCAGATCTAGATCTTCACACCTTCATACCTGCAGATCTAGATCTTCACACTCTCACATCTGCCGATCTACATCTTCACACCTTCACATCTGCTGATCTACATCTTCACACCTTCACACCTGCAGATCTAGATCTTCACATCCTCACATCTGCAGATCTAGATCTTCACCCTCACACCTGCAGATCTAGATCTTCACACCCTCACATCTGCAGATCTAGATCTTCACACCTTCACATCTGCAGATCTACATCTTCACACCTTCACACCTGCAGATCTAGATCTTCACACCCTCACATCTGGAGATCTAGATCTTCACACCTTCACACCTGCAGATCTAGATCTTCACACCCTCACATCTGCAGATCTAGATCTTCACACCCTCACACCTGCAGATCTAGATCTTCACACCCTCACATCTGCAGATCTAGATCTTCACACTGTCACATCTGCAGATCTACATCTTCACACCCTCACATCTGCTGATCTACATCTTCACCCCTCACGCCTGCAGATCTAGATCTTCACACCCTCACACCTGCAGATCTAGATCTTCACACCCTCACACCTGCAGATCTAGATCTTCACACCCTCACATCTGCAGATCTAGATCTTCACACCCTCACATCTGCAGATCTAGATCTTCACACCCTCACATCTGCAGATCTACATCATCACACCCTCACACCTGCAGATCTAGGTCTTCACACCCTCACACCTGCAGATCTAGATCTTCACACCTTCACATCTGCAGATCTCCTTTCGCTCTTCTTCTATTCTCTCTTAAGGCGGGGGCGGTGCCGCCGGAGCGCCACGAAACGCAACCCTTTCGCACGAAATGGACGTTGGACGTCCAAAACCTAGGTAAAATTGCGATTTTGAAGCGTCGCGCGCAACCCTTTCTCACGAAATGGACGTTGGACGTCAAAAACTGAGGAAAAATTGCGACTTTACTTGGTCAATCGCAACCCTTTCGCACGAAATGGACGTTGGACGTCCAAAACCTAGGTAAAATTGCGATTTTACTTAGTCAATCGCAACCTTTACGCACGAAATGGACGTTGGACGTCAAAAACTGAGGAAAAATTGCGACTTTACTTGGTCAATCGCAACCCTTTTGCTGGACGTCAAAAACTGAGGAAAAAATTGCGATTTTACTTAGTCAATCGCAACCCTTACGCACGAAATGGACGTTGGACGTCAAAAACTGAGGAAAAATTGCGATTTTACTTGGTCAATCGCAACCCTTTCGCACGAAATGGACGTTGGACGTCAAAAACTGAGGAAAAATTGCGACTTTACTTGGTCAATCGCAACCCTTTTGCACGAAATGGACGTTGGACGTCAAAAACTGAGGAAAAATTGCGATGGACGCTTTTGTTTGTGTAAAAGTGTCTGTGTGTAAAAGCGTCTTTGTCTTGAAGTGTCCGCGAAGCGTCTGTGTGTAAAAGCGTTTGTGTGTGAAAGCGTGTGTGCGTGTGTAAAAAGCATCTGCGTGTAAAAGCGTCTGTGTGTAAAAGCGTCTGTGTGTAAAAGCGTCTGTGTGTGAAAGCGTGTGTGCGTGTGTAAAAAGCATCTGCGTGTAAAAGCGTCTGCGTGTAAAAGCGTCTGTGTAAAACCGTCTGTGTGTAAAAGCTTTTGTGTGTAAAAGCTTCTGTGTGTAAAACCGTCTGTGTGTGAAAGCGTGTGTGCGTGTGTAAAAAGCATCTGCGTGTAAAAGCGTCTGCGTGTAAAAGCGTCTGTGTGTAAAACCGTCTGTGTGTAAAAGCTTCTGTGTGGAAAAGCATCTGTGTGCAAAAGCGTCTGTGTGTAAAAGCGTTTGTGTGTGAAAGTGTGTGTGCGTGTGTAAAAAGCATCTGCGTGTAAAAGCGTCTGTGTGTAAAAGTGTCTGTGTATAAAAGCGTCTGTGTGTTAAAATGTTTGCGTGTAAAAGTGTCTGTGTGGAAATGCGTCTGTGTGTAACGGCTTCTGTGCAAAAATTCATCTTTAATGTATTGTCTTGTAATATAGTGTCTCAATACTAACAACAGAAGACCCTGCTCTCTCTCTCCCTCTCTCTCTCGTCTCCTCCTCTTTCTCTCTCTCCGTCTCTCTCCCTCTCCCTCTCTCTCCCCCTCTCCCTCTCTCTCTCTATCTATGTCTCTCTGTGGTTGCACGTCACGTGTCATACGATGCCCTTTATACCAAGCAGCACAGTGCATGTGCACAGGTTGTCACATGTATCCACTTCTTAATCAATCTTACTTTTCACAACTTATCCCTCCATAGCTCATATAAAATTCATCAACCATTCACCGAATCTTTTTTACGACTACCATACTCAGAGCTGCTTGAAAAACGTGTTTTTCGCTCTCGGGCCAACCGTCGTCTAGTTTTGAGAAAATAAAGTTCTTGAAGTTTGAGAGCTGAGAAATGCCATGGGGTTCCAGATTTGTTTTTTTCATGGCCAGCAGATTGGGGGAATAAGCATGCAAGATTTTATGGCCAGTCATCATTTTCCCAACTGTTGCATGGCCATAGATTGGGGTTAAGCCCATTTAAGCCCTTCTATTCTTGGACCTAGGCAGGTTTCACAGAAGATTCTACCCTGGCGCGGTTGGAGATCACCAACGGATGCTTTGAATATCGAAGACCTTATAGCTCTGGGGAAGCAGTGCCAAGGCATATCAACTTCTATTGTGAAGGCGGATGTGTGAAAGATGCGAGGAAAGAGGATTTCATTGGGCTGCTCATTGACTTGCCATGTGCTCCGGATTGCTTGGGACTGGAGGTGTTGGCAACCATGCCGGCGCTGCCCACAGATTTCGCTGAGATCAAGATCCAGCTGAGACAGTGGACGTCTTAGTGCTGGGGTGATGTTCAGCCAGCATCGAGAGGGGTTGCCTTGCTGTTTTTTCCTCCATATACACCTACAAAAATCTGTACAAGTTTCTCACTGATTTCGAGATATGATCATAAATTTGAGCCAAATTAACTGTGAGGACTGTCATCACTAACATATGAAGCGATATGAATGTATTGGTCCCCGATTGTGAGTTGAGTCAAGATGGCTCAAATCGAGCATCAACCTCCTGGCAACAAGGCCCAATGTGTGGCTGCTGCCGCAGCTTTGGACCGACCTACTAACTTGGGCACTGTCAGTGTACCAACAAACGGCGCAAGCTGCAGTTGACACCACCTCCAGTGAAGATGCTGTTACCGTGCAGATGATGCAGGCCAGGACTTAGCTTGAAAACCAAAGTGGAAAAGGAGATTGTATGGGGCTTCCTTTCTCTCTGTCACTAGATATAATTCTATATCAATTTTCCCACATATTTGCTCCAGAACATTCCAGAACTGTTCTTCGTGTTGTAGGATTTAAGGAACAGTGTCACATGCGAAGTTCGCACTTTTGACTGAAGGTGAATCTTCAAGATGGGGCAGTGCGCTTACCGATCGCATGGGACTCTCCTGCGCAACATTTTGCCTTGGTTGGAGATCTGCTGCTGAGACTAAAGTCTGAGGGTAGCAAGATGACCTTTGAGCAGATTGCCATGCCCAATGCCAGTCTCCGACGTGTTTCTGTTTCAGATACGAGTGAAGCTCAAAACAGACTGCTTTGCGAGAAGCTCAGCTTTTTTGCCAAGGTTGTCAGTGAAAAACAGGTCGTGTCAGGCGGGACTTGGAAAGGCCGTGCATCTTTTGTTTGGATAGGTTGCACATGTTTTCTACATGGTTTTAATGCGTTTCAGAAAGGCTAGAATCTTTCATCATGTTATTGCTACATTGTAGGGAGAAGCGGTGCGCCCGTTTCAGGTACAAGGATAAGTTTGTACTGCGCCGAGATTGTGAAACTGCATAGCTTTCAACTCCGCATCACATTGCAAGACATCTTGGAGCTCAGTGATATGCTACAAGCAATGGCAGAGATGGAAGCAGAAAGTGTGGAACCTCAAGAAGAGATCCGGGCACGGGACCCGTTGTCTTTAGAGCAACCGCAAAAAATGAGTGTGGCCTGCTCTATTGAATTGGATGGCGTTCATCTTCAGATCTTGGCACCTCGACCAGTGCTGGAATTTGGACTAGGCAGGGGCTGTATCTGAGGATTATGAACCGGTACGCTAATCATCAACCCATGGTTCATTGTGATGATTTACGGGAGATTCTTCAGGAAACCATGGTGCTTTTCCCATCAAACATGGAGTTTCAACTGTAGAAAAACCTCTCATTCCCACTTCCTAACTGGTTATCAAGCATAGTCAAAGCATCTTTTAGACTCTTAGAATCTATATGAATCATCATTAATCTATTAGATTTAGATTTACCGGATACTTGACAACCCACGCAGTACCGGATTTTTTCCTTGTTTCGTGTTGCGTGGAGGCTGTCCATTGACCCGGGTGAACTTCAGTTGGGCCCGCGGCAGCACTCCCATGGGCTCCGTTGCAGTGGACCGGGTCTGGCTGAGCTTGTCGGCTCTCAACGAGCATCTGGCGGCCTGGGAACCGATCCTTGGCACCTCCCATTGGAACATGGAGCTGCTGCTTGGTGAAGTTGGCAAATGCTTAGCCTATTCATCTCTAATATATCTCTATTATATTTTGCATACGGTTAGGCTGAAGCATAGCGACGTAATATCCATATATCCATATATATATATATAGATATCATATATATATACATACATAGATACATAGATACAAAGATAAAAAGATATATAGATACATAGATACATAGATACACACATACATCCATACCATACCATACCATACCATACCATACCATACCATACATACATGCATACAATACAATACAACACAACACAATACAATACAATACAAAACAATACAATGCAATGCAATGCATTACATACATACATACATACATACATTACAATACATACATTACAATACATACATTACAATACATACATTACAAAACATACATTACAATACATACATTACAATACATGCATTACAGTACATACATTACAATACATACATTACAATACATACATTACAATACATTACAATACATACATTACAATGCATACATTACAATACATTACAATACATACATTACAATACATACATTACAATCATACATTACAATACATACATTACAATACATACATTACAATACATACATTACAATACATACATTACAATACATACATTACAATACATACATTACAATACATACATAACATACATACATAACATACATAACATACATAACATACATAACATACATACCATACATACATACATACATACATACATACATACATACATACATACATACATTGCCAATACATTACAATACATACATATACAATTTTACATACATTACAATACATACATTACAATACATTACAATACATACATTACAATACATACATTACAATACATACATTACAATACATACATTACAATACATACATTACAATACATACATTACAATACATTACAATACATACATTACAATACATACATTACAATACATACATTACAATACATTACAATACATACATTACAATACATACATTACAATACATGCATTACAGTACATACATTACAATACATACATTACAATACATTACAATACATACATTACAATACATACATTACAATACATTACAATACATACATTACAATACATACATTACAATACATACATTACAATACACACATTACAATACATACATTACAATACATACATTACAATACATTACAATACATACATTACAATACATACATTACAATACATTACAATAAATACATTACAATACATACATTACAATACATACATGACGATACATACATGACGATACATACATTACGATACATACATTACAATACACACATTACAATACATACATTACAATACATACATTACAATACATTACAATACATACATTACAATACATACATTGCGATACATACATTACGATACATACATGACGATACATACATGACGATGCATACATGACGATACATACATGACGATACATACATGACGATACATACATGACGATACATACATGACGATACATACATGACGATACATACATGACGACACATACATGACGATACATACATGACGATACATACATGACGATACATACATTACAATACATACATTACAATACATACATTACAATACATACATTACAATACATTACAATACATACATGACGATACATACATTACAATACATACATTACGATACATACATTACGATACATACATGACGATACATACATGACGATACATACATGACGATACATACATTACGATACATACATTACAATACATACATTACAATACATACATTACAATACATTAGATATATATATATATACGCACCGTTTTTTTGCGGCTGTATTATATCTATATCTATATCTATATCTATTATATATTTACCTTTGTGGATATTTATGGTATTATGTATTAACTATATCTACATGTATTAGCTATTTGCAATAACTACATCTCAAAATCCCAGGCTTTGCCGCCGTGACTCCGACACCTCGGCTGTGGCCGAGATCCATACGGGGCCCACTTCGCCCATTCAACTTGCGGTGACGCTGCCGGTGATCCATGCGTGTTCCAGGCGGTTGTTGGTGGTGGTGATATTTTGATTGTGGATTACTATGAATAATGATTATTGGGCCAAATTATGCAGAATTTGAATTCGAATTTTTGAATATCGTAAGTAGTGAGTGACTATTAGATCAAAGATTGGGTACAAGTGGGTTTGTGATTGGGTATACCGTATACCGTATATCCCTATTTGGGACGATGTTTGTTATGGCGCCCGCCCTTTTATGATTGATAATGGGGATGCTTTCTGGCATTGGGTTTACCACTTTCAGGTGGCGGTTTGGGTTGTTGATCCTTTTTGTTGATCGTTTCCGGGGAGAATCCGTTTTCCGACTTTTTTCAACGGGGTTGTTTTTTTTTCAACCCACTCACAGGCTGTTGCAAGCGTACGATGATGCAATCACCGCCTCACGCGAGCTGAAGGCAAACCGGAAGAGGACAGATTCATTTCAACGCGAGGCTGCAGTGAAGAAATTCGAGGATTCAGTGGTGGGACTCAACCTCACAGGAATAGACTGCTTTGTATGCAAACCGGTGAAACATCTCAGTTCCTTTCTGAAATCAGAAGCGGCTTCGATTTCGGCCCTGGAACTTCTATCGAGGCCCACCAGTTTGGATTCGATTCTTGATGATGAAAGGAAGATCAATCTGCAGTTGAAAGGTTCTGAAGGATGTCCGACGAAGTCTTTGAAGGTTAGGGCAGGTGTCGCAGAGCTTTGGGATACAAGTCACGGGGAGTTGCTGGTGCAAGTCTTGGTAAACCGACCTCCACAGTTGCTGCTGCTGGTTTCATCACCCATGATTCTGGCAAATCGCACCTTGCTAGACCTTGAGGTGAAGCTCTCGAACGTGTCAAATTTGCAAATGGAAGCGAGTGAATGGCCACCATTTTGCATCCCGATCCAGTTCTTGGAGGGATCCCAAGGGACACCACTTCCAGAGGCTACGTCAATGGCCACCTCAAAGGCTTGGAAAGCAGCAGCAGAGTTTGTGAAGAGTCACACCTTGTTTCTACCTTCGGGATTCTATTTGGCACTTCCTCCAAAAGCCCTTGGAAGCTTTGAGGCTGCTTTCCAGTTACGACCTGCTCCATCTTCGGTGGGTGGGATGCATTTATCTTGGGGCGGACTGGTGTCTCCGCTGCGGGTCATGGAATCTGATGGCTATGCTGCCTATTCTCGATCCGTGTGTCCTGATGTCAGCATGCCGGCCTATGGTTTGCGACTTGCAGCTGAGAGAACTGAGAACCAGTGCCAAATTTCCATTGAAGCTCCATTCCGTCTCTGCAATGCGTGCCCTGTGGACTTCTCTTATCACCTCTGTTGGTCGAATGCAGGATCCTTCGCCCCCCGGGTGCTGGATCAGCACAACGGCACAGCTGATGCAAATGGAATGCTTCACATCAACGATGGCTATGGAGGGATTTGGGATGTTCCTCCCAATGGTTTTGCTTATGTTGCGCCCTTGAGACTGCGTCAGAATAGTTTTCAATGGTGGCTGGGCAAAACAAAGGAACATCAAGACTGTCCCCATAGGACCAACGTGGTGACCGTGAAACGCGACGGCCGCAAAGTCTCGTGGCAATTCTGTGAGGCTGGACGTGGCATCTCCAAGCAGCTTTCGGCCAGACTGGCGCCAGGAGATGAGGTGAGCAAAACCCCAAATGGTCGATTAGTGTTGCCAGGGTTATTCATAGTAATTCAATGGAATTCATTAAAAAACATTATATAATGAGTATTGTTAGTAGTAATTTATTAATCATGATGGATTCTTATGGAGAAGATTCTTAGAATATGGGGCTTTAGACACCATCAACCATACTTAATTGGGTTTAGTTTAGCTATGATTGTAAAGTTATAGCAACTGGTGAACACGGCTTCGAATTCGTGGGTGAGTTAAGCAAAGCTGACGATGACTATGATTCGGATGGTGTTATAATATATATATATAATTATATATATATAGGCAAGCACCGAAAACTCGGGTTCTTATGATGCCAAGTGGTTTCTATTCTGAACCATCATTATTTTGGGACCCTGACCATCAAAAAGGTGCCAATTTATGAGCTGCCTGAGCAGATCGGTGCAGCTCCATCTGGTGGCGTATTGAAACAACCTTTGCACCGAAATGAGGACAGCTTGCCGCCGCTGTTGCTCTCAGTGTCCTTAGCAAAACAACAAGGAAGTGCACCGTGGTCCTCCGCCATCCCAGTATTGGTGGAGGGACAGATGTCGCCAGTTCCCGTGAACCTGGGCACTGGTTTAACTCTTCAGTGTGACAGACAAAATGCCAGAAGTGGTCAAAGGAAGGCCTGCAAGGCGATTATTTATGCCAATTGCTGGTTCAACAATGCCACCGGGCTGGATGTTGTGCTGGTCCGTGGGACTGAACCTGCAGCCATCTACAACAACCTATCAGTCATGGATGATGAGGCATGGGCCAATGTGGATTCTGAGGATGACCCCAGTGGTTTCCATGTGGTTCTACTGGGCACACAAAGACGCATCCGCTTGCCATTCGTGGGCGTCGGACAATCTGCCAAACTTTCCTTATCATCAACCCATGATTGCATATTGAAATCTGACTTCATCAGTTCATCCAGCTCTCATGGTGTGAGTTCCACCCTCTTTTCTCTGATCCCAGCCCTACTGGCTTTCAACACCTTGGATGATTTGGAAATTGGCTTTCGCCAAGATGGACAGCGTGCAAAAGACAGCTGGATTGAGCCAAAGACGGGATGTTCCGCCATCTACTGGTCCTTCGAAGGTTGCAGGAGACTGCAGTTGGCTGTCCGAGCCAGTGGCAGCGTTGGCGGAGGCAGCCGAAACCGGAGGGAGGGGCAGTGGTCAGCTGCTTTCGAAGTTTCTGAGCATGGGATTGGCTGCTTTCCCATTCGACTGCCAGATGCGTCCTCCAAAGATCATCTTTTTTGCGTTCAAATCCAGCAATGTTCAAGTCAACTGATCACGCTGACAGTGGCAGGACAGGATGCTTGTCACCAACTAGTCAATCGACATCCTTGCTTGGTCGTGGATGGATGTTTTGCCAATGAGTCCATCGATGGCTGCCATTTTGTGGCGGTTCATGGTTCCAAAATACCGTTTGGCTCCTCAGGAACACTCCAGTTGAACAGCAAGCGACGCGTTTGTCTTCTCCTGGGGGATGTTGCCAGCCACAAATCTACGTCTATCGAGTTGGCATTGGATACCCCAGTCAATCGAATTGTGGAATTTGAATTTCCGATCTCTGTTCGCTTGGACATCGTTCAACGCGTGGCTCACATCACCATTTCGCCCGTGGGTCTGTTGGTGGGCGGTCTCAGTAAAGGCAATTCATTATCCTGGAAACTTGAGGCAAATGTTCGCATCCCTGCTTTAAACATCGGCATCCGCGGTGGTCAAACTGAGTCTGCAGAAAGTTTCTGTTGTCAGCTGAGAGGACTGAATTTGCAATGTCTTCAGACGGAGACAAGGGAAACCATCTGTGAACTTGGGGGCTTGCAAGTGGATCATGTTCGTGGTAGATCCTCGAAGACCAAAGAACAGCGTTCCGTGATTTTGGCTTCTCTGCCCCAGCCCCAACCCTGGCGTCTAAAGATCGTGAGGGAGCAGCTGAGTGAAACTGATGCAATTCTGCGGTCCATGAGCTTGGAGTTTTTCCCGGCCAAAGACAACGAAGGTAGGCCATGGGGTCATGTCTTGGTGTTTCGACTTTGCCTCCTGACTTATGAGAAGAGCCCTGAAAATGGATACAAGAAAAAGAACACTTTGAGTTGGTATTGAAGATGGTATTCCACAATAGTGATAATGCACATGATAGCTTTGCTTTGAGACTCAAGGATTCTCAGCTCCAGACAGCATCAAGTATATGGCCAGTGCTTACTTGGGTGTGTCTCAACAATCGGACATCCCCAAATCCATTTGTATACCACCATTTTGCCAACAAAGATTGGGGTATCCAGACTTTCGAACAAACCTTTCAGACATGTCAGTGCTATCCAGAACTGCCAGGAGTGGTGTTGGAAAGCAACGTCTCGGAGGAGCTGATTAAAGATATCAAGGATTTCCTGCGTGAAGCTACACCATCGCAGCTGGAGGGCTTGTGTTTGTTCCAGATCGCCAGATGGGCTGGCACACCCTATCATCAGACCTTGGAAAAACCACCCGCCCCCTCCAGAAAGTATGTCTTGAAGGGGTTTCAGTGCGGTGATTTGAAGATTGGCTTATGGTGCAAACTCAGCATTTCGAGTCTTCCAAGCTTTGCAGGGGCGATGCTGACCCTTAGTAGCTTTTCGGCCACTTTAGATGTGGATGGTGCCAGAGTAAAACTGGAAAGACAGAGTTTCTTTATAGGTTCCAAGCCTTTTGAGGGCACATTGGAAGCCCTCGCAAACTTGATCGTGGAGCGCTACAAGCCATGCATCAGACATTCCTGGCGCTCTTTGATCAACAATAGCAACGCCGTGCTGGGAGGCCTTTTCAGTCGTCATGCTTGGAATCCTCGCAAAGCGACCAACAAGACACTGATCCCTGCAGTGCTGTGCGTGTGGAATGGAGTGGTGACTTTGCGCTCAGAAGTGCCCAAGGCAGATATGGTGCAGGCCGGGGTGAAGCTTGAGTGTAATTCGAACATTATGTGGTAAACTGATGTAAACTGTTTAACTTGTAAACAATAGAATGAAAGGGATCAGTGGTCTAAGTCTAAGTATCATTCAATTGGAGCTTTACTATTGGATTTCCTACGGTCTTTCATGGTTTTTCGGTCATGTTGTTCCCCGAATGTGCTGACCGTTTGGCACTGAAAAGCATCCAAATCCAGGTGTACAAGAAAGACGTGCCACTCGACGAGGCTGGCTTCCAACAAGTACTGAAGAGCTATGATAGTGGCTCCATGGAGACCTTCCTGAGGTCCTCAGGGTGAAGAGTTTGCAAAGTGGGATGTTTTATGGGAAACAAGCAACTATAAACAACTATAAATATAGCATTATATTTTGATATGTGGGTTGGGGTTAAAAAATGATATCGGGGATTCCTGGGGTGTCATCATAAGCAATTAGGCAGATATGATGGGGACATTCTGGGGATAGCATGGGGGTATTATGAGGATATAAAGGGTTGTAGGTAAGTCATGGCATGTCCAACTTCTGATAGTGCCTAAGGGGATATTCGTTTCGATAATTATGAATGATTACCAAAAAAGGTGTGTATATGCCAAATAATATAATCCTTGTCATACTGTGTGTAGTTATGGGGATACCATTTAGATTTAGTGAAGTTTCTGAGTGTCTTGGATTCCCTTAGATCATGATGTCCTTAGATTGCAGATTTCTTTGGCGTTGTTTGAGCCAGATACCTTGTGTCAGGCGACTGCTGGGCAACTTTGACGCCAAAGTCAGCGATAGTGCTCAACTCGCGAACTATGCTAGATCTTTGTTAGGCCAGGCAGCGCTTGTTTGTCGCAAGTTTGCAAGTTCCAGATCATCCAGCAGCATGAAAGGATGCGCAAATCCCTGGTTTCATGATTTATATGAGAGGTGTATTTTCCGACTGATGTGTCGAATGCGGTTATAAAGCACTTGAAAGCTGTTGACCTCTCCATAGATTGGCCGCTTGGCCCCTGAGAGGCTCCAAGAAAAGCTTCGACGAGGTGGTTGACTTTATCATCTCACCACAATGTAAGTGGACTGTCCCGGCGCTGCCTTCAAGTTGAAGGTTGGCCAAAGTCCGCGGCGTCCTGGGCTGTGGGCTCGGCACGGCCGTGAGTTGTACATAGGAAAACGTTAAGTTATGGCAGTTCGAAACTGGCTGCATTCGCTTGTGCACAAAGAACAGGCCCAAGAGGAAAGTTGCAAATTTGGATGCAGCAATGAAGTGTTGAAAACTCATAAGCATGTTTAGAGAAGGCATAAATGCCAAATATCTATGCCAAGTATGCTGTAGTAGGGCTTTAGCAACAGGGCGACTGCTTCCTTTTGGCCCAAAGGATGTTCTTCGTAGTTGATTCAAAAGTTGACACATCCAGCGAAGTCATTTGGGCAGCCGAGTTCGTAGTGTTTTTTGCACCTCGTGTCTTGCTGCAATCATTCTCCCACCTTGTAGCCAAACCCTTTCCATGAAGCCAGATGCACTACTTCCGAGGACGCTGCATCGACAGGATGTGAGTTGAAAATCAATCTCAATCGTAGCGTTTCAATGTTTTTCCATGTCAGAGGGTTGGCCGGCTGGCCTATTGGCGCATCATGTCAAGCACTTTGCCAAGGCCAGTTGTCTTTTTTTTCGCTGCAAGCTGGTGCTTTGTCAGGACTTTCTCTCGCAGGTTGGGGAGGACAGCTACTTCTGCTGGTTGCTGAGGTGCACTGGATGACTTACTTTGCATTGGGAGAGACAGCTGGCTTTGGGATGACTGGCTTTCGGATGCAAAACTGAGCATGCGCATCCCACAAGAAACCATTATACTTGCTAGCGATAAGAACCAGGCTATGACCCTCACTGAACTGGATTAGCAGGGCAAGGGCAACGAGAGACCAGCGAACATTACGCAGTGAAAGAGTGAGGACCACTGAAACTTATGCGACTTTGGCGGAGTCAAACCCATCAAAAGCAGTGCCGAGCCACATCAACGGGAAAGTGGAAACAAATCCGTTGCTTTGTCGCCAAAACCCGCATTTGCTAAAGTGGGAGGGAAAAGGTAGGGTCTCAATTTTCCACAATTTCTCTGTCAACGACTGTGATGCCGAAAGGATCGTAAAGAATTATGATACCCTCTCAAGATCTCTTGGAAAGGAAAAGCACTTCTATGTATTCGGGACACCTGGTGTTTCCTTCGCAGGTGATGACATTGGTTCAGTGCTTTTGCAACACGCCTGCCACGGAGCTCTTTGAACGATGCCCAGAGGCCAATAGGAGATCCATCCAAAAATTGCAAGAAATCTTCAGTCACATCGCAGGTGCTGCAGGTTGGGGAGTCCTGTCCACCCTCATGCCCAGAGGGCTTGAATGCCAAAGCCCGGGTGAGCTGCCAGGATCTTGCTGAAGAACTTCGATACCCAGATTGTGGGGGATTTACAGTACCTAGAAATTGCTATGAAATCATGGAACAAATGGGAAACTATTACTTTTGAAACCATGGCATGGCCTTTTTGTACCCAAGGGTACCCTAGTTTGGACCTTTAATGCTGAACTGCTTCACCTGCGCCAGGATGGTCTACTCCTTGTGCCCAGTTGCCTTGAAATCAACACGTCCACAACGAGTAGCACAACCAGCAGCGCCACCACATCGAGCAGCTCTACAAGCACCACAACGGCCACTAGCACAGTAAGCACATACACTGCAACAAGCAGCACCAGTACCAGCGAAACAGCAACAGCCAGAAGTACAAGCATCAGCACCAGTAGCAGCAGTAGCAGCAGTAGCAGCTCCAGCAGCTCCAGTGCTGAGATTGGTACTACCAATCTCAGCAGCACAGCTAGCGAAGCTAGTGAATCTGGCAACACTAGCAATGCTACAATGACATTTACATCAACAACTCAGTTCGACATTGCTCCGTTCCTACCTCAGCCAGATTTAACTGTGAGATTGGTCAACCCCTGGGACCACCAAGCCACAGGACCACCAGGCTTGACCGTTGTGTCATTGCCTCAATGCTGTGGACGTCATGCCCCAGGCGGGTTTATGTTGGAACTGAAGATGTTGGAACGGGAATGTATTGGTTATAAACAGGTTGGTGAATCTTGGTGATATTCTTCCATTTGGGATGATGATCCCAGCTTCTTGCTGTTTTCTATTTCGTTTTTTCCCATCCGACTGTAGATGGAACATCCCCAGTGGAGGTACATGCTACACATGGAGCGCTGTGATGCTAAATGCGAATCTCCGTTGGGGACTTTGCAGCGTGTCCAGCTGTTCTGATGTGGACTCAACATTGAGACATGACACCTTACGACCTCTTATGACACCATATGGTGATTATCCAAAACATTCCAGAACTATCAACTTTTTTTTGTTTGTGAACTTCACAGAACTATCATAACTTCACCTAACTTTCACAGCGGATGCATCGCTAGGTTGACATCAGTTGGTCACTTCACCTGTTTGGCTGGGCGATTCTTTGGCAGCTCTGGCTGCCTGGAACCATCGGAGGCGTTGTGTGTATCTTTTTTGTCATGCTGCGCCGCAAGGGTTTGCAACAGAGATTGAACGCTCATTTGTTCATATATTTTAGATATGCATGTGTATTATACATAATACATATAGAATCATGTATGTATATATAATTACATACATATGTATAGAATCACATATATATATATATAACATATGTATATGTATATATATATATATTACAATACATACATACATATATATATATATATTATACATATACTGTAATATAATGTAATATACATGGTATGAATACACACATGCAATAGTATCGTTAAGAAACAACAACGTATTTTGGCTGCGAGTTTGAGGCCACCAAGTTGGCTTGGCGCGGGCTGCTGCTTGCAGGAGCCTTGCGCTTTGGCCAGGGCCCTGGTGGCCCTGGAAACCCCTATTTTGATAGATATGTTAGATAGATGATAGATGTTTAGATGAATTAGATTACATGAAGATTTTCTAAACACCTAGATTTTTGAAGAATGGTGATTAGATTTGTAGGGATTTGCCACAGTGAGAAGAATAAACCAAAACTCGATGCTCTGGTAAAGCTGGTGATTAGATATATTAGATAGATTCTAATAGTGATTATGAAGAACGATCAAGTTATTAGTGAATAGATTATGGGTACGAAGTGATAAAACCAGTAACAACAACTGGTGAGATGTTAGTGAAACCATCCCAACTGGGACCGGACCTTGCTGGGCCATCGAGGCTTCAACAGCCTTCGACAATGGAGTGAAGATGAGCTCCTTGACAATCTGAGGCGGGATCAGATCGCATTCGTCAGGATACACAGATGGAACTGACTTCAAAAAATCTCCGCACTCAAATGTGATGCCCATGAATGATGTAGAATAGCCATCAATACCCGACAAATGGAGGATGATGTGAGAAGGAGAAGTGGTAGATGGTGATGGTGCTGCTGATGGTGGTGGTGGTGGCTAAAATGATGGCGGTGTCATATTTAATGGCCTTGTGGCCATGATGGTGACACTGGTTGCAGTGATGACGACACTGATCACTGCAACCTTGACGAGGACCATGATGCTTTCGGTGGTCGCAAAGATGGCATGTCTTGAAGAATGATAGAATGTTCTGTGAGGATCCTAATATATTACTTTGTCCTTCAATGAGTGTGATAATCTCATAATTACACACATCTTCATTTATCCTACTCTCAGATGCTTCAGGCAATATTTGGAGCTTTCCCAAAATGGAACCCTAAATCATCCATGAAAAACATTAAAAAATTGGATTTTCCATTATAAATCATCCATAAATGGGGTACCCTGGTACCCCCATTTTGCGGCCACCTTGGGGCGGGAGGCGCGTGTTGGCCGTCTGCATGGGCGTTTCCGGCCGCAGCATTCGGCGGCTGAGAGCTGCCGAGCTCCTGTTGAATAGCTGCGTGCTCAGTGGAGATTTGGCGATGGAAAATTGGTTACCCTCCGGTGAATCAACCATAGGTAAATCAATAGGTAAATCACCTATAAAAAATGGTCAATGTGAACTAATAAATGGGTCAATTCATGGGTTTTTCTTCATAGCTATCACCATTTCAATAGGCAAATCAACGAACTTACCATGAGCCATGGCTTCCACAGCTAGCTGGTCAGTTTTTGCTTGGGGCCCCATGATAGAAATGGGTGATTGATTGGTTACAAGACCACTATACATTAACAAAAAAATGTGGAATTAAGGTGTTCAAAGTGCAATTTCCAAGTCACTTCACAATTTTTCACTTGCTGAGATGAAACCGGCGAGGCTGGGATTCGTCTCATGTTGTTTGTTTTGTCAGTGCTTCCAGTACCAGCTGGGGCAGCTCGCTCGGGTCTTCCGTGGACAGGTTATCAGCTCTGAAGTAGAGCTTGAGTTCGAGGTATCGACGGGGTCATGTCACGAGATTCAAAACCTACACATTTTGATGAAGTTTTCGAAATTTGTCGAACATCCAGTTTCTAGCGCTTTATTTATTTTTGGTGAAAGCAGTGACTGGAGCCATGCTAGGTGTCCTTGGGAAGTGAGCTGCTGAATGAGACGGAGGCTCTATGGAAAGTTCAAGGAAATTGTACTGCACATCCCGTTGCACTGCGAATTCAGATGGCAGGTCTCAGCTTCCATTGTAGATTTGGAAGACGCGTTTCTACCTCAGATCTGGGGCATTGCTGGAACTATAGTAACTAGAGTAGTTTATGTAGCTTGTCTTTCACAGAATGTCTGAGCTGAAAACCACTGGTGTCAGGTCGAGTCCTGTTTCCCTGCTCTTTCACAACATGCTGAAGGTGTTGCAAGTAGCACGAATTAGTAGCACTTACTTAACGTCACTGTTGATTTCTTAGTACATTCTTTGATTGGTCTGGGAGTCCGGTCCCTCTTGAGATTTTGGCAGGGATACTTCGACATTCAAGTCACGTGGCTTCAGCTGGTCATGCTGTTCCGACCCCAGGCTGCACTAAACCCCTGGGACGATGATTGGGCCACCTGGGCCACACTGAGGCCCATGACCTATTCCGGTAGCTTGCTGAACTTCACCGCCCCCAGTGCGCCTTTGGCAGTTCCTGTCTTTTCTGACCTTAAGATTCCGATCTACGCCTTAGTATTGCTGAAGATGCCGAAGCTGAGGGGTCAGATGCTATATGGATGACAGGAAATCATGGAAATCATGGCGATACCAAGGAAGCGGTTTCTTTTCCTTATTTTTCCTTACTGGTGCTTAGTAGGGAACGGGGGAATGATCCATAATTATGTAATATGATATATATATATATATCATTATATATATATATAATTGATAACTATGAACGATCATCCCATTCCCCCCTACTAAACACCAATTAGTTCTTGTGTGTCCCACGAACCCATCCAGTGACCCGGAGCCGTTTCAGGTACCAGTGTTGCTTCTGCAGCAATAGATCACCAGGATCCAGATGGTACAGCTACCAGCGTGGTGTCAGGCCTGGTCCTGTCCATGGCAGTGGTACCAGTTGTGGCCCGGGTCCAAGATCACAACTGGGTCGGAAAATGGGGGATATCCCAATTCATGGCAGTTTTAAGAAGCAAAAAATGATGATGAATTAATCAGCCAACAGATTTCCATCGGATGTTCATGCGATTTCAACAGATTTTCATAGGAATTCCATAGGATTTTGGGATACTCAATTAATTCGGAGAACGACAAAAAATCGGTGCAGCGCCAGAATCGCCAAGGCTGCATGGGTTCGCCTGGTCTTGGCCGAGCAAAATGCCCGAGAAGACTTGGCAGGCTTCGAAATTTGAACTGTTTGACACTTTACATAACACTGGATGAAAAATAAGTTTCAAGAAGTTCAAACTGTGTGTATCACCAGTGTGTTTTATTTTCATACATTTTTCACGTTTCTATCCCAACTGAATCTCCGTTCTTCGTTTCGCCGGTGCGGCGCAGGTGCCCCTGAGCTGCGAAAAAATGGTCGCCCCAAGCGGAAATCGAAGAGCCGCTCGCCGATCTCGCCGGGCCAAGGCCCGCAGCGGTGGATGCCGGTTGAGTGAGCCTTCACAAGCTTGACATTCAGTGCATTCATGCCTGATACAAAGACAAACCCTTCCAAAAACTTGAGAAGACTGGCACCAACAAGTCTGGGACGCACACCACACATTTTTGTTTCACTCCATTTCGCCCCAAGAGTTTGGATTGCTGTGCCATTTACATCGCGCTGAGGTTGAGAAGACATGGTTATCAACAAGTTCATGAAGGGCGGTTTGGGCATGGTAATTGCGGTAATTAAAGAGATATGAGATTGAGAAAGATGTGATTCAAACCATAGAATTTGCGATTTTGATGGATCTTTGACTGGTGGTCACCTGGTTCCAAGATTTGTTTTTATGTAAATTTGTCCATCCTAACTTAATTGTGATCCTAATTGACATGTATCTCTTCCTCGTGTGATGCTTGATGGATAGTCACGCTCCAATCCTCAACAATGGCCAGCATTTGGTCGTGTTAATGCGTGCCAGCTTGTGAAACAAGCTGCAGCGCCGACTCGAAAGACACCTTTGAGATCGAACACAAGAGGTGAGAGTTTTCAATCACCGGAGTTCAGTTGCCAGGAATTGCCAAAGAAGCAACTGTAGAGTAGACTATAGTGACTATAGCAGAATTTGACCAAAAAAGAAGGGTATCTAGTTGGTAGATGTTGGTAGTCTCCACCACTCTTTACTTTGCATCCCAGATGGGAATGACAAAGCTGGTGCCTGGGCACTGCGCAATTTCACTGCTCCGCTATGTTTTGGCTTCGCTTCAGTGGGAAAGGCCCAGGACACACAAATTCCAACCATTTCATCGGGTATCAGACAACATCTTCAGCAAAACATGGTGTCTCTTCACCGGTGAAGGTCGGTAAAAAACATGAGAATATCTAGTTGTCATGACCAGCCCAAAGGCGTGTCGAACGTCGGACACCGTTCTCCAGGGTATCCAATCTCATGGTTGAAACACGTTTCGCCAAACGAATTCTGCTGTTGCGCCATGCTCAGCAACTGAACCCGGGCCTATTTTTCTGATGGCGCTCCCAAACAGCTCTGAGGTGCTCATTGTCGATGCTTTTGAAGTGCTTTTTCCGATCAAAGTGGGTATATGGGTCAGAATTGGGTACCCACTCTAAAGTAAAACTTGGATATCGATGATGAAATTCAATCAAATTCACAGAAAGTCAAACCTTGACCAGGCAAATGTTGTTTCCCCTAGCCCTAGTCTTCGTTCTTGACCGGTACCATCCGGTACCCCGTCTCAAGATGTCGGCCAGGTGCAATCGCAGTTGGCGTCGTTGGTGGAGGATGCTACAAGGTACTCACTTTCGGTACACACAAATGGTTCAATTTGTGGTACAGAATAGTGTCATACTATGGTATTATACTATATATATTTTAGTATTAACTACAGTATTAACTATACTTTCTTCTGGGAACACTGGTTTGACATGTTTGACCCATCCATTAAGAAAAGGGTAGAATGGTGCATGGGGAGAATGGTCAGCTGAATTGTGAAGTACCACCCCTTTTTGGACACACCTTTATTACATATGAGTATGGCAAGTTTGAGGCACCATTTGCAGTAGTAAGTGAGGGCGGGCAGCATTTTTTAGATGTGATGTGATAGTAGTAAGGTATTTTTTTGGGGTATTACTTTTCGACCCCCACCTTTTGATGTACTTAGAGTGGTGAGGGCGGTTTTGATGCCTGGTTTGACTCAAGATGCTGGCTTAGAAACAGAGGTACAGGGTGAGGGTGAGGATGCGTTTTCGGCTGAAAAGAGACATTGGTCGGTATGTACCCATGATATCCCATGATCAAGAATGGTCCATGTGTAGCAGCTGTGCAGTTGTTTGAGTCTGGCTCGGCTAGGCTTGAATCGCAGCTGCATCGTCGAGCAAGACCAGGACAGAGCCTGGAGGAACTAAAGCCAGACAAAGGAAGTCTACCTGTAACTCGGTGGAAAATCTGATGGATTTGGAGTTTGCTCCATGGTTCAAATCCTGGCCCAGCCGCACTTCTTTTTTGGGGGGATATGGATATGTTCTTTTTTATGTCAAGACGCGTAGTGTCACCGTTTGTGCTTAGCTCATCTGAAAGCACAGTTTTAATATGTTTTAATAACCGCAACCCCTCCTCCCAGGTCTTCCAAGAGTGGCTACAGACGGAGCTGCACGCGTTGGAAGAACGCTTGCGGGCTGGACTGGTAGATGATCTGCGACCTCTTTTGAGGCAGCCGTTCATGCCGGCGGCATGATCTCTGCTGGGAGTGCCAGACCCAAAACCATTGTGATGTCGATGGTCAGGCAGTGGACACCCCAACACCATGCAGATCTCAATCAGGACCCTGTGGAAACTGGGTATCATCCACCCGGGACCTGGCGATCGAATCTTTGTAGGAACTGTTTGGGCTGCACAAAATGCAGCAAACCCAATAAGCTCACGGTTTGTGTTTATAGCCATTTACTTGCCAAACTAGTAAACCATAGTAAACCTACGGAATTTGTTGGGCGGAAACGCAGAACCTGACTTGTGACCATTCATTTTGACCAGGAGCTACCAGGACCCGCTAGGCTGGAGCCTAAGATTGGCGTCCACAACGGGTCCCCGTGCAGGTCAAGTCATAGTGGACCCAGCGGGCTCGAAGAAAAACATCCTGGAAGTTATCAATCATAGAATCATAACTCATAATCCATGGTTTTTCCATGGTTTTTCCGTGGTTTTTCCATGACCTTTTCTGAAACCCTTCATTTTTGACCCGGCCTTGAAGGCTTCACGTGACAGCGCTCCCAGTGTCCGAGGTTGCGTCAGTCTCCTCCAGCACCAGACTCTCCACCAGCGCGGTTGTTTGAGGAGGGAAAAGTGACTTGGCAGAAAGAAACACGGCTTTGCCAAGTCATGGTCCAAGGGACCGGTTTCGTGGAAGATTTTCAGTGGAAGATGCTGAAAATCTATCAGAATTTGTTGCGTCTCTGGATGAGGAATCAGCATTAGATTTGCTGCCTGGCACCGTGAGAGATGAATCATCAAATCCAAGGACTGCATTGCCGCATTGTTTTGAGTGAACTGAGGAGTGTGGTAAAACATGGTAAAACCAATAAGAAGCCACAGTGTTACCAGTGGGACTCTTCATGAACCATACTCAATTATTGGAGTTGATTATTGGGTTGACCACATTACGGGCTGCTCACCAGTTCAGCAACGGCAGGACCAGGAAAAACCTGCAGTTTGCTGGAGACGATGGTGAGGATGTGGTGGCACGCAACAGACCTGCCGAGATCCACGTAGGCAGATCCTGGCAGACCCAGAAACACCCGAGCTGAGTCATGGCCAGCAACATGGACAGGTTTGGCTATTTGTCAATACCAAACAAGCCGCAAATTGCATAAACTGCCACCCCATCAAAAGTCAATTCTGGAGACATTTTTGTGAAGGGCATTCCAGTTGGTATGGCGAATAGCATTCAACAACCACGATCGTGACCCAATCATGCACAGGCTAAGCCCCAGAGATTTATAAAGCACTTACCAACTGGGTTGTGGTAAACCCGACTATATGTTTATCATTTTTGGAGGGTTTATATATATACTAACCAGCCATTTTTGGAGGGTTTATACTAGTTTACACCAACCATTGGTGAGTCCTTGGGGCGTTTCCCACGACACGGTCAGGCCTTCCACCCACAACTGCCACAGCTGGTGGACAAATGTGCCCAGTCGTGCCGGAGAAAGCGGGTGGCATTCCCAGGTCGCCGCAGCAAAGAAAAACCGAGGCCAGCCGCAAGACTTGGGACGCAGGGACGCAAACCAAAGATGAGTATATAATATTATGTGTATATACATAGACATACATATTATATTATGTTATGTTATGCTATATTATATTATATTATATTATATTATATTATTTTTTATTATATTATATTTTATTATATTATATTATATTATAGTTTATTATATTATATTATATTATGTTATGTCATGTTATGTCATGTTATGTCATGTTATGTCATGTTATGTTCTGTTATGTTATGTTCTATTATATTATATTATGTTATATTATATTATGTTATGTTATGTTATATCATATTGTATTATATTATATCATATCATATTACATTAAATTATGCTATATCATATCATATCATATGATATCATATCGATTTACATCATATCATATTATATTGCATTGTATTGTATTGTATTGTACTATATTCTATTCTATTTTATTATATTGTATTATTTTGTATATTATATATATATATCATATATTATATATATTATATATTTTATATTATATATTATATACTATATACTATATACTATATATTATATATTCGATATTTTACATTTTATATTTTATGTTACATATTATATATCATATATAATATATGATATATATTATATTATATATATTATACAATATATTATTTACTATATATTATATATTATATATTACATATTATATATTATATATTATGTATTATGTATTATGTATTATGTGTTATATATATTATATATTATATATTATATATTATATATTATATGTTATATATTTGATATTATTTATTGTATATTATATATTATATATTATATATTATATATTATATATTATATATTTTATATTTTATATTATATATTATATATTATATTATATATATAATATTATATATTATATATTATATTTATTTTATATATTATTATATATATATGATATTATATATAGGTATGTATGTGTATATATATATATCATGATAACAGTAAGATAATAGTAATATAATAGTAAGATAATAGCAAGATAATAGTAAGATAATAGTAAGATAATAGTAGGATAACAGTAGGATAATAGTAAGATAATAGTAAGATAATAGTAATGATGATAATAGTGGCAATAGTCATATCAATAGTAAGTATGATAATTAACAACAATATGAATATGAAAATATCCCATACATCTCGAAGACACTCGATCTCATGTTATAGTTTGTTCAAATACATGGACCCTTTGCATGAGTTGAATTCATTTTCCTCCAGTGGGTCCAGGTCATTCCGCAGCCCTGGGAGACGCCGTTTGGGAATCTCAGAGAGTTCGTTCGTGGATTTTTTGTGGAGAACACCTGTTTCGGCTATGTGATTATCTCCTTCATCGCCTTGAACTCTTTGATGATGGGCATCCAAGCAGACTGGATGGTGACACACATCGGTGAAGAAGCTCCGGTGGTTTTTGATGTGCTCGAATACATCTTCGCAGTGGTTTTCACTTGGGAGCTACTGATGCGGATCTTTGTCTACAACATCTCCTTTTTGAGGATGCCAGATTGGAAGTGGAATATCTTTGACTCCGTGGTAGTTTTCTTGCAAGTCTTTGACATTATCACGACCTTAGCCATAGGTGGCAACAATGGAGGCAATCTGAACTTCATGAGGTTGGTGCGGCTCATGAGATTGCTCCGAATCTTGCGACTGATGCGTGTCCTGAGATTTGTACAGGAGCTTCGATCAATGGTGATGTCCATCGCAGCCTCTTTGAGGTCTCTGATGTGGACCATCATTCTTCTTGCATTCTTGATGTACGGTGTTGGAGTATGCCTGATTCAGTTGATTGCTGACAAGGGCTTGGAGGACCCTCGAATCATGGAGAACGCACCAGAGATCAAACTATACTATGGCTCACTCGTTGAAGCTTTAGTCTCCTTATTCGCGGGAATCACAGGAGGAATTGATTCTTGGATTTGCGATGATTTTGATTTTCCCATTTATTAATCAAGTCAATCTGCCAGAAATGGGGTTCTCTACCGGGAATACCCTCCGGTAATCCAACAAGGCTAGCCGGAACATTTATCATTTAGTTCGATGATTTTCCCAGCAAAGCTCCAGTTTTTTGGGGGATTTCCCGGCTAGCCATGTTTGATAACACCAGATGAATCCGGATGGTCTGATTCTTTCTGGCCGTTGGTTCGACACAAGGATTGGAACGACTTGTTGGTACCTCTTGAGAGTCAGATTGGTCCATGGCTCGCTGCGGTCTTCGTCCTCTACATTGCTTTCGCGGTGCTGGCCATGATGAATGTAGTCACAGGAAACCTGGTCCTATCCGATACTTCTGGATGTTTCTGGATGTTTCTGGATGTTTCTGGATGTTTCTGGATGTTTCTGGATGTTTCTGGATGTTTCTGGATGTTTCTGGATGTTTCTGGATGTTTCTGGATGTTTCTCTTGTACTTTCTGTTTTTGGTGCTGTTTGACGTTTGGTTTTCAAAACGAGACAGTCTCGCAACAGTTGCCCTTTTAGCGGCTTTGTTGAACATTTTTGGGGCTCTGCCAATGGTTTTCGCCTGATCGTCAGGAATTTTCGTTGAGTCGGCTTTGCAATCAACGCGAGCAGATGAGGAAAAGGAGGTAAGACAGCAGCTTCAAGAGCTTTTCTCGCAACTTGATTGCAGTTAGTTTGGGGTCCCGCCGTGAAACTAGATTGCATAGGCAATTGGATCGCAGCCAAAATAGCAGTGGTATTATGTCGCTTTGGTGACCCTTATTCATGTTCCAGTTCAAAATCATTGAAAGCAGCTATGACGCGTGAGATTCGCGCCCGCCCCAGGAATGTTGACGCTGGCCATGACGGACTTGTTTGCTGGGAGGACCACTGGGACATGCAGTAACACTGGGAAGCCATGTCAATTATTATTTAACCCAAACAAGTGGGATTTGAACCACCAACCATGGAAATTGAGCCAATGAAGACTGGAAATTAGCTTGTCCAGAAATGTGGTATATACATGTATATACACAAATGGGGAACCAAGACTATATACAAGGTGAAGTCAGTTCTAACTGTGATAATGAAACCAGCAATTTTCAAGGAGTTGTTTGAGAGGCCAGGGGGAAAAAAGACTAGAAAGCCATTCATGATAAATCAAATCAGTAGTGTTGGGACAAACCTGCATGCACAAAAGGCTTCGTTTGGTTTGCAGGGAAAGGATGCAGTTTACAATTTGTGAGCATTTGAACATGCTTTATTGTTGCAGCTTTGCAGGAGTTTGTTCAGCCGCTTAGCCGCAGTTTTCGGGATGGTGCTCAGCCACGTTTCCTTTTTTCTGTGTGTTGCTGTGTGATGTTTGCCAGAGTTGTGGTGTGCGGGAGGCATTTGGAGAAGCCGGACATGATGAGATGCTTTGAAAGCTTGGGGTTCAACATCAATGAGGCCCCAGTTTGGCACATGCACCCTGTTGGCTTCCTGGGTTATATCATCAATAGATTTTCAATAAATCCTTGCCAGAAACCCTGCTGGAATGTCGTGGACCTATTCATTTTTGGGTCCCATTTTGGGGGGGTTGTGTTAAGGGTTTTTCGACGCAGACCAGCTGCACCAGCAAATTTGAAAGGGGGTCACTTTGGGCGTGCACAGTCGCATTGGGCTGAATATGGGCCTACATTCTTCTCCCAGAGTATGTATCTAAGCAATGCCCTTCAACGGCCTTCTTGATGTAGATTGTTGAGAGGATTTTGGAAGGCCAGGAAGATATCTTTGAACCATATTCGAAGCTGTCAGTTGTGCTGTATGGCTACAGATTGAGCGGTCCGAGACCTTTCAAAAAATGTGGTAAAATACTCCCGGCTGTAGTTCTTGCCAATGCGAGCACTTAACAGCATTGTTTTGTTTTTTTTTGTTCACCAGCGGCGCTTTCACATCACCACAGCAGCACAATGCACTCCTTGTTCGTTCGAATCGTTAGCGTTGCACGTGAGCCTAAAATGCAGAGTCAATTGTGGCCTTAATTTCAAGATCAATTAAGGTAGTTGAACACCCTTTCATTTTGGACATCTAGGTTTGTCTGAATATTGGGTTTCCCTCCAAAAAAAGGGCAATTAATCCTTGGTTATGGCCAGTTTTCATACTGAAAATGGTGATGAACCACATGAACCACAGGATTTTGAGGTACCCTATATTCACAGAAAGCCATACATTTTGCTTGTTCTGATGGGTCTCCAGGCCTACGGACTCTTCAATTTGCTGGATACAGAACAGTCTGGCAACATCGAGTGCGAGGTCTGGCCTGTGGTCATGGTCCAAGAAATGGGGACGGGAATCTTTTCGAAGCCAAAATTCATAGTGCTAGGAATGCCAACCAGCATTTTGTAGAAGTTCTAAAATCGGATTATCAATATTTATCAATCAACCAGCATTTTAGATATTTTAGGTCATCGGCCCAGAGGTATGTTTGACGCCTCAAGGGAATCATAGCAAACGATTTAACTGTGCCAGGAGTTGTTGGAAGGTTGTCTGCGTTTGCGCGGCCCCGCCAACGCAATCGATGTGGCAACATTGCAGTGACTTGGCCTTGACATCAGGGGATGGCTGAAACACAGGGTAGCCGTGGAACCGCAAATTTGATAAAGTTTGATGTAATCATAATTGTCAGTAGTATTCTCATTACTACGTACTAATTATTACAATACTGGCTACTCTTATGATTGCTGGTATAATGTAAAGCATGATTTTTGAGCCATAGCCACGTGTGCAAAAGAACCTGAGTCACTGCGCCACAGACTGTTCTCGCACAGACCTGAGGTATTCCTCCAAGCGTGTCTTCGAGTGGTGGAGAGGCGGTGTCATCCCTCAACTTATGGGATTTGTTGAAGGGAAATCTTAACCGGAAACCACAGTTTTTCTACTATGAAATATGGGGGGTTCCTGTAAAATCTGTAAAATTTCCCAACAAAACCAATCCACTCGTCGACTATGATCAACTGATGTGTAGGTAAGATGCATATCATGGAAGAACTCCTTCTGTGTATCTTCGGAATCCTTGACACCGTGCTGCACTTAGAGTTGATGGTTGCCAATTCCATTGCCATTGCAGCACCTTTTGAATGGCAATGGCGGTCCCTGTGCATTGCCAATTCACTCTAGGTGCCTGGCAAAGATGCAGATGAGAGGGAACATCTGAAAGCCATGATCGAAAAGGTGCGTCTACAACAGAACAGTGGAAAAGAGACTCGCGTCTTTGAGACGTGGAAAAAGTTCAAACATAAGTGATGCGGGGCCCGGTGGGGATGAAACCCAAAAACTCAGATCTGGTGACATCTGGTGACATCTGGTGACGTTCAAACAGATCTTAGCAGTTTGAGATGTTTGGAGATGGTGGTGGCCAATCCCCTGAAGCTTCCTTTAGACTCAGTTTGCCCAAGGCAACAGGTGGTAGGGTTAATTCTCTAAAAGCGCGCCAGCTGCGGCGCCTTGAAACTGCCGCGCTGTGAGCCAAAGGCTCCAGCGAAGCAGACGGTGCTCTCGGCAGCTCTTTTTGGTGACAGCTTCGACAGCAGAATCAGTGCCAAAAAACAACAAGCGTTGCTGCGGAGCGCTGTTCCATGTTGCTCCGTTTGATTGAGGTGACAAAACATTGTACGCTTTGGATCGCGCTTTCGGATTCCCGTGGCTATTAGCTTATCCATGTTGGCATGACCTCACTTCAGAGTTCATCCATAAGTTACAGACATCAGACATGTACTTTTTGTGAATAACCACCAGCATTTCTTCAAGTCGCAACTTCTTCAATTCGCAATGAAACACATGCCACATTCCGAAGGCGCAACCCACAGATCCACCAGCCTTGTTGCCGCTGTCTGCTTTCTCCTTGCCATGCATGGCGAACAGATCGCCTGAGGGTGGATGGAAGGGAGGCAGGAGCATGTCATACTTAGCGTCAAAACATGAAGCACAAAAATAGTGCAATGTGATGCAATGTGCCTAATGTGCCATTGTGATTCATTTTGAATCCGAACAAGTTAAACATGGCTCCATACTCTGGTAGTTCAGAGATTTCATCAACTTTGGATCATTGGAGGCTTGAGAATTTATGGTCCACGGCTCAGCTTCCTGTGCTCAGCCGCCAATCATGGGAACCTGCGCTCTACGCGCTTGGCGAAACGCGCTTGGCTCAGGCGGCCTGTGGCACGACAGCGCGCGGCACATGACCTGTGGAGACATGCGGTTTTCAAGGGCATCTTCCTACCTCTCTTGGCCCTCGTCTCAGATGTCTCAGGAGATCTGCCATGTCCCAAGAATAATGCCACAAATGGGCGATTCATGGCGATTCAAGTCATGTTAAGCTGCTTAATGGGTTTGTAATCCAAAAGGATGCCTTACGTGCAAGCCAATTTCCAAGGCAGCCTTGCTCCTGCAACGATTGCGGTTGCTTGTGGAAAGCTTACGGTGGTTATGTTTTTTTGATGGTTTTGTCCTTCCATTGGACATGGCAAGAAACAGGTTTTTGATGGTTTTAGGATGTTTTTGGAATACTTGGGAATTGGCCGCACCAAGGCAAATGCGGGCAGAATTGACAATCAGGTGGTGGATTTGGAGAAATCCTTGGTGTTGACTGACTGACTGACCATCAACCACCAGCAGGCACCAGCATTTGACCATTTCCCTTGTGCGCAGGGAATGGTAGAAGCCAATTCTTCCATAATCGTTCGTCCTGGTACGCTCCTCAGTCAAGTTGCGATGAGTATGAACTTGCTCAAGTGGTTGGTGCTTTCACAGAGACATTCTCTGCAATGTCTATACAATACATAATTTAATGTGTATCTGTATATATATACACATACAGTATACACATAATATATCATAATATCATATAGTGCATACATGATCATAAATATGATTCAATATGTATACATATATATATACATATATATACAAATATAGACATTGGTTTTGCTTTCGATGCTACTTGAGATGATGATCGCAGGTGAAGATGCTCCAGGGAACTTCACGGCCCGATTTCTGGGGAACCGACCTTTAGAGGCTTCGGCCGGGCCGCAGCCCGGCCGTGAGCTGAAGAGCTACATGTGGAACATCCCCGGTGAAATGTGTCATATTGTGCCAATGTCATATATGTATGTACGTATATACATATGTATATATATATATATATACAAATACACACATATATATATATATTATACATATGTGTATGTATACTGTATATATCTGTACACACACACATATATATATATATATATGTATTCGTATATGTGTATATTGAATATTTTCGGCGTCAGATGGCTGACATAAAGGCAATAAAGCATAATAAAGCACTTACCCAGGATGCAAAAGAGATCCATGGGTTATCCATGCAGTTTCAGGTGCAGGTCTATTTCGCTACCTCTGCTGGGCTTTCCTTGCTGCGCTAAATGATTCATTTGATGCTGCTGGATGTTTGATGTTGACAGGTTCTGGATGCTTTGTGATGCTTTGAATGTTTTGTAGAGTCTGCTATTCTTTTGAATATGCCATGCTGTGACTAAGCTCAACTTACTGGTCATGCCAATGCGACTAAGCTCGAGCCAGGCTTCTTCCGAACCATTTCGTGTTGTAGAGCTGCAGGAGGACGGGATGATGATAGCAATTGATTTGCAGTCTTTTGTATCGGGTGGCTCAACCACCAGATTGTTGTTGCTGGATATGTCCCAGTGATTTTGTCAACTGTATATGGGGATGGGTCAAAAGTTATTATTACCATATTTGGGGGAATAAACATCCATTAGCCAGCTATTCTAGGATACCTTCCGGGTACCATGGTTCTGAGCCATATCCCAATGAAATATAATGAACTCGTCTGGTGAAAACGTGCATGGGGCCAGGACAAGAGGCCTTGGCACGTTCTCCGAGTCTTAGTTCCTCTTTCTCAGGAAGTCACTCGGCATTGGACTCGGCATCCGGGACTGGATATTCGGAAACGCTGTGATATTGCAGGGGTTTAATGCTTCTATGATAGTTTCAGGATAAGCCAAGGGAAAAGGATAGAATTTCAGCGAATTTCAGCTGTCAGGTCAGATATGGACAGCACCATGTCACCATGTTAAAGAGACCAGTCCTGGATATACGACTCACAGACATGCTCCACATGCTTGATCACATCACCTAACCAGAAGCCATTACTCATTACTATAAATTTCACAAAAATACCTGCCTAGAAGATCCTAAAAGCATTAGTTTAGTAGATCTATTCATTTTGGGCTCCCATATTGAGTTTAGGATTCCGCAAAAATCAGCTTCCCAGCAGGTGGCAGCCTGGTGGAATAGCACGGAGGATTTTATGATCAGGGTTTTTCCTTGTCAGCCTCCATCAGAAGGCCTGGTGGCTGCCGAACTGTTGGCCAAGTTGGCCGCTATGGTTTGCATAGCTTTACATCTACAGTATACAACGACTTTGTTGGAGATGGATTTTTATTACACCCTTGAGATGGTGAATTACTGGAGATGGTGACGTTTTGTTGTTGGTTTACTACGCAATTTGTTTGATTTGTTTGTTCCGCGAAACACCAGTGGCAGGCAACGACTCCCACACGGAGTGCATGCACTTGGAGGTGAAGGCAGCGAAACCTTTTCACTACCAGGGTCGAAGTGTACAAGTCACTCGTCGCAATTAAAACTCGTCGTTGTGGGTGAAGAACCAAAGTAGGATTGATGATCATCATGGCTGTCTGAAAACGATGGATTTCATGGTTTAAGCCCCAAATTGCAGTTTTACATAGTAACACCCAAATTATGATAATACTTGGCTCATTGTGTGGCTCGAACTCAGCTATCGAAAGTCTGCAAACTCCCAAACTCCCAGAAATGGAGACCAGAGTGTCCTGAGGCGATTCAGACAGAAATCTTTCTTCCCAGGGGTACGATTGTAAAGGACGATGTTGTGGTGCGATTGCTGCGTTGCTGAGCTTTCAAAAAAAAGGTGCATCTCAATGTTCGAATGGTTTTATTTGGACTGGCGAAATATGAGAACCTTGGGATCTCCAGATAGAATAGAATATATAAATATAAGTATAAAGAAATATCTATGATAGCCATCTTTGGCTGAAAAAGTCAAGAAATTCCAGAGTCTTGACCGCCGATGTACCGCAGATCCATGCACCGCAGGACTGTCGCTTCGCTTGGGTACAGATCGGCGCATCACTGCCTGAGATGGATGCGACACTGAGAGCCCTTCATCTCACCTGTCCAGTAAGACGCTGAGAAGTGATAATTGGCATGATGACTGGGGTCTGAAAATAGGGCCCCAAAATCCTATGGTTAATCCATCTTAACTGTTTACCAGTAGTACCCGCACGAGGCGGGGCGGAAGTTGCCTTAAAGATATATATATATATAAGATCTTTCTCATCTATAGAACTTGCATGCGCCGTGCGCCAGCCAAGCCCGTGCGTGCGTGCACTCTGCGAAAGTGGTGTTCTGTTTCACATGTCACATTTGAAGCTCCACTTCGCCCTTCACACTTCTCCCTGCACTCTTCCCAATCCACATTTCACACTTCACACTCCACACTTCACATTTCACAGTCCACACTTCACAGTCCACACTTCACACTTCTCACTTCTCACTGCTTCCTTCACACTCCAAACTTCACACTGCATTCTTCACGCCCCACACTTCACACTGCACTCTTCACACCCCACACTTCATCTCATCTGAGCTCCTCTCACCTTATCCCAGCTGAGCTCTTCTCATCTCATCTCTTCTCGTATGTCATCTACGCATAGAACTACGCCTGTCTCAGAAAAAAGAGCTTTTCTCGTATGTCTCAGAAAAAAGACGATTTCGAAGCACTTTTTAAAAGAATTTTTAAAAGGAAAATTATTCGCGCCAAAATTGAGAAAATCTGCTGACAATTCACTTTCGCAGCCTTGATGCAGCCATTCCAATACGATTTACGATCTTCAGCTGCAAAAGACAATAGTATTACGCATGCAGCCGTAGCACCGAGCAACCTTGACGCAGCCACTACAATGCGTTTCGCAGCATCCCGTGGCAAACCTACACCTATCTACGCACGTGGCAACACCAAATGACAACAATCATGCAGCCATTCCAATGCGATCTGCAACCACAGCTCCAAGAACCGCATAGAACTATGCACACAGGAACAACCACTCGTTGCAAAACACATAGGAGGAACAATTCGCGACAGAAACGACCCCAGCCGCACCCGCCGCACAGACGAGGTACCTTTCATCGCCGGCTGCAGCCACTTTACACGGAAAAACACAAGGTTTCGTGCTCCGGCTTCTTCCCCAAAACATAACCCATGCAACATTCATGCAGCCATTCCAATGCGATCATGCAACCAGAGATTCCAAAACCGCATAGAACTACGCACACAGGAACAACCACTCGTTGCAAAACACATAGGAGGAACAATTCGCGACAGAAACGACCCCAGCCGCACCCGCCGCACAGACGAGGTACCTTTCATCGCCGGCTGCAGCCACTTTACACGGAAAAACACAAGGTTTCGTGCTCCGGCTTCCTCCCCAAAACATAGCCCATGCAACATTCATGCAGCCATTCCAATGCGATCTGCAACCACAGCTTCAAGAACGCATAGAACTACGCACACAAGAACAACACTTGTTGCAAAACACATAGAAGGAACCAATCGCGTCCGGAACGACCCCAGCCGCAACCGCCGCACAGACGAGGTACCTTTCATCGCCGGCTGCAGCCACTTTACACGGAAAAACGCAAGGTTTCGTGCTCCGGCTTCCTCCCCAAAACATAGCCCATGCAACACTCATGCAGCCATTCCAATGCGATCTGCAACCACAGCTTCAAGAACCGCATAGAACTACGCACACAGGAACAACCACTCGTTGCAAAACACATAGGAGGAACAATTCGCGCATGAAACGACCCCAGCCGCACCCGCCGCACAGACGAGGTACCTTTCATCGCCGGCTGCAGCCACTTTACACGGAAAAACACAAGGTTTCGTGCTCCGGCTTCCTCCCCAAAACATAACCCATGCAACAGTCATGCAGCCATTCCAATGCGATCATGCAACCAGAGATTCAAGAACCGCATAGAACTACGCACACAGGAACAACCACTCGTTGCAAAACACATAGGAGGAACAATTCGCGCATGAACCGACCCCAGCCGCACCCGTCGCACAGACGAGGTACCTTTCTTCGCCGGCTGCAGTCACTTTACACGGAAAAACACAAGGTTTCGTGCTCCGGCTTCCTCCCCAAAACATAGCCCATGCAACATTCATGCAGCCATTCCAATGCGATCATGCAACCACAGCTTCAAGAACCGCATAGAACTACGCACACAGGAACAACCACTCGTTGCAAAACACATAGGAGGAACAATTCGCGCATGAAACGCCCCCAGCCGCACCCGTCGCACACACGAGGTACCTTTCATCGTCGCCTGCAGCCACTTTACACGGAAAAACACAAGGTTTCGTGCCCCGGCTTCCTCCCCAAAACATAGCCCATGCAACATTCATGCAGCCATTACAATGCGATCTGCAAACACAGCTTCAGGAAACGCATAGAACTCCCACGTCCCCACCTCCCTTCCTCACCACTCCCCTTCATCACCACTTCCCTTCATCACCACTTCCCTTCGTCACCACTTCCCTTCGTCACCACTTCCCTTCGTCACCACTTCCCTTCGTCACCACTTCCCTTCGTCACCACTTCCCTTCGTCACCACTTCCCCTTTCGTCACCACTCCCCGTCATCGTCACTTCCCTTCTTCACCACTTCCCTTCGTCACCACTTCCCTTCTCCACCACTTCCCTTCGTCACCACTCCCCTTCATCATCACTTCCCTTCTGTGATCTACCACCCTTCATCAAGGTCAACTGCATAGCTTCTTATTCTTTTGTTATGTATTGTTACATTATGTATTGTTGTGTGGTCTACCACCATTTTGTTATGTATTGTTATTGTTATATGTAGTGTAAAGTCTCACACCACCCTTCATCAAAGTCAGTTCTTTTCTGATGTATTGTTATGTAGTGTAAAGTCTCACACCACCCTTCATCAAGGTCAAGTCTCACTCGCGCACCACCCTTCATCATAGTCAATTCCATCAAGTAAAAGTCATTCGTAACTCGGAAGTATTGCTTCCCAACTTCCTTTGATCATCATTTTTCTCGTTGAAGTGGCCATTTTGGGGTGGCCATTTTGAGAGAAACTATGGACTATAATCAGTGTGTCCACCTCACGCATGGAGCTATTGCCCTATCGAACAACGAACAAAGTGTGTTTGGGATTTGGCATAGAGTGAACGCTTATTAGTTCTGGAGGGAGATTCCTTTCAATGGAAGATAATGGGAGGGAAAGAGGCGTGAAACGTCTCCTGCCCCTGAGGTTACGTCAGACAATTCGGAAAGAGGTGTGGGGTACCGTGAGCATTCTCGACATGCCAGACCGTTTGTTTTTCATAAGCAAGCGCAACTCAGAAATATCATAATAGCATAAAATAGCTCTTGTGGGATTTCTGATATATACAGTGTATACACTTTACATAAGTACCAGTCCGGTTTTTTGAATTGGAGGTTTCCTAAGTCATGGGACCCCAAAATCATCGTCATGAGACCATGACTTAGTATTGAAACCCATGGTGACGACTGGGGATCCCCCATGAGACACCGCAGGTGGAGTGCCTGGACTGCTCGCACTGGTTTTCTTCGCCTGGCTTCTCTTGCCGTCCCTGAGACTGTCGGAGTTTGCCAGGAGGGTCCGGTAGAACAGAAATCTGACGTTCTTTACCGGGCAAACATAGTGTAGAAACATCGGATTCAAACAGTTCTTTACGTATATAGATTATCTTAATTTGGGTAGGGTCAACATGTGTTTGATGGCCCTCTGCGGGGATTCGGCTGTCTGGCAATATTGAAAACGCCTAGAAGAACCCTAGGGCCATAGGAATACCCTAAATTAAATCTAAAGAAACCCTAAATGAACCCAAAAAAAACCTAAAGAAACCCTGGAAAACCGTATGAAAGTGTATATAATTAGTGAAGTACCTGTGGGGCGTAGTGCACGCGCTGCGGGTAAATCTACTGCTGATCACCACTTTTTCCCTATGGCTCTGGCGTTGACTGAGTGTTTTATCAGAGGTGGCCGCTGCTGCTACTGCCGACCACCATCATGTACACAGCTGTCTGGGACCTGGCTTTAACCAACATGCCTCGCGATGGGAAAATGGAGGTTTCCTAAGTCACAGGGGTACCCCAAATAGCTGGATGGTTTATAGGTTTATTTCATGGAAAATCGACCGGAAAAATGGATGATTTGGGGATCCCCCATTTTTAGGAAACCTCCAATGGTGAAAATGATGGTGAACCACAAGAATTTGGTGTATTTTGATTGGCAAGATGATGATGAACTGCATGGATTTTGTTTTTTTGCTGCAATTGGGACAGCTTGACCCACATGCTTGTGGGGCACACGCACACACATGCTTGTAAGCCAAAGGGAATGGAGTCAGAACCAAGTAGTTCGTATGTAAGTTCACATGACTTGACTGTCAGAACATATCAAAACCATGTCAGAACCATGTCAGAACCATGTAGTCACATTAGTCTGGACTACTCTGCAGTTGTTGCTCGACTGACTGCCGGGAAGTACATGGTTCAAGCCGCCCATAGAGTTTCGAAAATGAGAGAACAAATCCCATGGCAACCGTTGATCCAAGAGGGCAACAGAAGAGTGCAAGGTGCCATTCCTACGTATATACTCGCAGTCTCTGGCGGCTGACACACACACACACCCGATCCCGCAATGGCTGCAAGAGATCGCACAACCCGGCGCTGGTGCGAGAGGAGGTGATGCCTCTGTGCCGGCATGGTTGCAAGAGATTGCGCAACCTGAGACTGGTGCTAGAGCAGCTACTGTGCCCGTCTTGGCACTAAGACAGCAGGGGGGCAGCAATGGAAGCAACTTCAGCCGAAGTCGTACAGACCCCGAGACCTTCCTGCAACTGCGAGAGACGCCCGAAGAGTGTTGGAGCTGGCGGGTGCCAGCCAGTTCGCAGGAGCTGCGTGACAATCGTGCTGCAGCATCCAATCAAGTTGCGGCCTACCAGCCTCGGACGTATTCGGACGTCTGTGTGAGATGCGACAGAGAACTACCAAGAGATGTTGCAGTGCTTGTTTAATCTTCGCGCAGAGATCTACCAGTGCCAGTTGGAACTTGCTGATCAACCTCCAGCAGAAA